CTCTCGTGGCGGGAGCGAGCTGCAGCCGCACAACGAGGACCACAGCCGGGCCGGGCGCTTCAGCCTCCTCAAGGGCCGTGTCCTGTTTAAGTCGTCCCGGGATTTTAAACTCGCGAAAGGATTGGTGCTGCAGTCTAGAGAACAAGCTCATCATTTCTACCGAGGCAAGTTCAGGCTGTTTTGCGAGCGCTCCCTCTGACAGCTCAGCGGCTACTGGACTATCCGAGGTTGATAGTACCTGCAGTCCTTCCTGCCCTCCCCCCGAATAAGCAGTTAACGTCTGGGTGCACATCTGACTACTCAGCCAGGATATTAGAAGCGATGGTTCCCACAGCACCTGTCACTCAGCGCTGGTGCACAGAGGGCTGTTGCGCAGATGTGAAATGCTGAGTTTTTCGTATGGCAAGATTAGTCACATACTGAAACAGCTGTATTTGTTTCCATGCTAGGTTCCCCAGGTATACGTGTTTGAAGGCTTAAAAATAGATCTGACATTTTACAGAAGTAATGCCATCTGCAGTGCTGGGAGTTAGGAAAACAATTACTAGGACTAATGAGTCCTCTTTTATCAGGAATTAAAATGGGGTTAGCAGAGCAGGGTGAAAGCCTGGAGCATGCCTTCATATACATGGCACTACAGCCATCCCAGCCTTGAGTTATCTTACTTTTTCAGTGAGTCTGGTGGCTTTCAGCACAGTTCAGTTACCCAGACTACTTGGTCTCTGATTAAGCCGGTCCCTTCTGGGATTGTTAGACTCCAGAGGAAAACACCAATTTTGGACCACAGCTGGGCACAAAACTGTCTTTATCTTTCTCTTCCCAGGATCAACTTCCTTCTAGGCCTAGTAGCCTGTGGTTGGTCTCTTCTTTCTCAACAGCAGATGTCTTTTGCAGCATTTCCCAGGGTAGTGACATAAGAGAAGCCTACCCCTACCCCTTTTCATAAACCCATAATAATAGGTCTGTCTGCCCTTCTGTAGTCACAGGGTGCCCTACTTCTCCTTAGGGCTTTTTCCTGCCCTTGGACTCCCTTCTGTCCAAAATGGGACAACCAGTAGTAATGGGAGACATCAAGTATCCTCATGCAGACTGGGTAAACACCTCATTGGGGCAAGGTATAGAAATAAAATTTCTGGATGTTCTTCCTAGAACAACTCATCTTGGACCCCACAGGAAGAGAAGCAATTCTAGACCTAATCCTAACTAACAAACATGGTCTGGTTCAAAAGGTGGTGAAACACTGTAATAGTAACTACAGCATAATTACATTCAACATTCTGGCGAGAGGGAGTAAGCCAAAAAGTCCACCAAGGTAATATACAACTTCAGGAAGGGAAATTACACAAAAATGAGGAAGTTAGAAAGAAGTTTCAAGGAGCAGTCAAAAATGTAAAAAGCCTGCAGGTAGCTTGGAAGCTGTTTTAAAATACCATATTAGACACGCAGGAAAAGTGTATACCACAAATCTAAAAGGGTACCGAGCAGACCAGTAAAACTGCTGCCTGGTTTAACAGTAGAGTTAAGGACATTCAAGGCAAAAAAAAAAATCCTAAAAAAAATGGAAGGTATGCCCAAATGAGAAAAACAGTAAAGTTCACAAACTCTGGCAAGTTAAAGTGTAAAACCAAAATAAGGCAGGGCAAAAAAAGAATTTGAGGAGCACTGAGTAAAAGATACTGAAGTTAATAATGAAAAACTATCCTCCAGGAATGTATCTAGTCCCCTTTTTAACCTGGCTATGCCATCTACCACCTCCTGTGACAATTTTTTATGCAATGTGTTGCATAAAAAATATTTTCTCTTGTTTGTTTTAAACATGTCTCCTAATTTAAGCAGGTTCCTCCTACTTGTAATATTCTGGGACTTGGTGAATAAACAGCTCCCTGTTCACTTGTTCGTCACCCTTCATGATTTTATAGCTCTCTATCATATCCCTCTTAGCCTTCTCCTTTCCAAAATGAAAGGTCCTAGCTTTTTTAGTCTCTCCTGGTATGGCAACTGTTCCAGGCTCCTGATCATTTTGGCTGCCCTTCTCTGTACCTACCCAGAATAATATAGTATAATCTGCAAACTTGGATATTGCATCGCCATTATCAGGTCACTAATGGAAATATTGAATAAAATTGGGCCTGGCAGAGATCCTTGTAGGGCTCCACTTTTGACCTTCCTCCATTCTGAAAGTTACCATTTAGCCCTATCCTTTGCTTCCTACCTGGTACCCAGCTCTCACTCCACAAAAGAACCTTTTCTCCAATCCCATGTCAACACAGTTTTTTCAAAAGCCTTTGAGGGACCTTGTCAAATGCTCTTTGAATGTCCAAAGGTATTGTATCAACTGGATCCCCCTTGTCCACATGCTTGTTAACATCCTCAAAGAACTCCGGCAGGTTTATGAGGCAGGATTTCCCTTTTTCAAAACCATGTCTCTTCCCCAACAGATCATATTTGTGACTGCTGATTTTATTTTTAATTACACAGATTCTACCAACTTGACAGAGAAGGAAGCGAGACTCATTGGTCTGTAGTTCCCAGTATCAGCTCGGGAGCCTACTTTGAAGATGGATGTTATACTAGCAGCCTACCAGTCCTCTGGCACAGAGGCTGTTTGTAACGATAGATCACAGACTATTGCCAGCAGTTCTGCAATTTCACCTTGGATTCCTTCAGAACTCTCAGGTGAATGCCATCCGGTCCTGGGGACTTATTAGTATTTAGTTTATTGGTTCATTCTAAAGCTTCCTCTGTTGTCACTTTAATATGGTCCAGCTCTTCAGACCCATCTACTAGAAAGGATAGATGTGGCACATGGGGATTTCCACAGGGTCTTCTTTGTAAAACACTAATGCAAAGCATTTGTTTCGTTTCTCTGCTACGGCTTTGCTATCCACAAATGCATCTTTTACACCTTAATCATCTAATAGTCCCACCAATTCTCGTTTCAGTGTTACATTGATGTCAGTGGTGTTGGAGGAAAAGCAGGCTGCAATTACTGGTAATCTGGCAGAACCTGCAACAAACACTTCCTTTATGGATCCCACAGAGGGAGAGGAAGTGACTTGCTCGCAGTCACATAGAATGTCACTGGCATGGCAGAGCACAGAACCTGGATCTCCCAGATTCCAAGCTAGCACCTGTCATGCTGGGCTATGTTTTCTCCCCCTACTGAACATTACAATGACCTGACTATAATATCAGGCTTCCACTTCCAGCTTGACTGCTGATTCTCCTGTGGAACACTTATGTTTGAAGGGCTCGGGGGTATTTCCAACTGCTAGCTCCACTGTCCTGAGAGAGTACAAACTACCCTGTTAGTTAGTAAGAATTCTTTACAAATGACTATAGCAACACTGGATGCATGCATGGTAGTGTTTATATACCTTCCTGAAGCACTGACAATTGTTTGGATAGTCAGAAGGATTAGGCCCATGTCTGTTCCAACATGTCTTCCTCTTGCTG